TCACGTCAGCATCATTTTTATAAAACTTAAAATCCTTGTGACTCTTTTGTTTAGCTGACTTTCCATGTATAAAATTCCCAGGTGCTGACTTTGCAATTGTTTGACCTTTTGATCCACATCTTTTCCTCTTCGAGGTCCGACATTCCAGAGGGTGATAGAGCACAGAGATGAGAAGGTGATGGATGGGTGAAAGGAGGGGATAGTTGAAAAGGGAAAAAAAGGGCAGAGGGGGCACACCAGAAAGATTAAAGAAGAAAGATTAGACTCCTGCTCCTGACGAACCCTCCAGTAAATCAGGAATTTCTCGGTAGAAAATGCGGAAGCATGGCCAGATCCAGTCTGTGGTGTGTTCTCCAGCCAGACTGCGAGCTCGCACGTCTTMACGGCTTCTCGTTCTGCTATTATCTCGCCTCTTTATTGGCATTCATTATCCGCCGTATCGTGACTGAAGCGCACTCCCGGATTCCTCTGAGCTCTAGAGAGGCAACCCCCCCGCACACCCACTCAGACATAAACAATCACGCACTTAAACGTATCAGGCTGGGACAGATATGCATGCAGACAATACACGCTGTGTGCCTCGGCTCAGCAGACCATCTGTAGCCTGGCCCTTGCCTTCCTACACAGTTCCGCTCGGTTCTAGTTTCCCTTCACTGCTCCTTATGGGATTTCTCCCGAAGACAAGGATTTCGCTGGCAGATTTTTAGCCGAACAGAACGTCGATTTTCTGCGCAGTGTCTGCTTGTAGTTTATTTTACCTGGGCCAATCAGCAAACAGAAGGCGGAGTTTTGAACGACGTCAATTTTCTGCGCAGTGTCTGCTTGTAGTTTATTTTACCTGGGCCAATCAGCAAACAGAAGGTGGAGTTTTGAACCATGTCGATGTTCTGCGCAGTGTCTGCTAGTTAGTTTAGCATACGGCAGTGGAGGAAGTGAATGAAGCCAGTCCGTGTTGATAAGGCTTCCAAATTAAATTAAATTTGTCTGACAAAGCAGCTGCTCTCATTTACAGTCGTCTCATTTGGCTTGATACTTTTCTCCTCTCAGTAGGGTTGTTTACAGCACACGCAATTTTCGGTTAGCTTGTTAGCTTAGCCTCCTTCACAGCACCACACACTTCAGCAGAGGCCATGCCTCCAGCAAGAATCGCTTCTCTATAGCAGCGAGTCCAGACCCTCTGGACAAAGAAAAGTGAAGGACAAGGGTCTGGTTTTTACCAGGCTAGATCATCTGTAAAGAGAGAATACAACTTGTGTTATCCACAGAAGCTTCGACACCCCACCACCACTGTTGATTAATAGAAAACATCCTTGAATAAACAATGGGAATAAATCAATGTAGCCCATTAACGCAGTAAGTGCTGAAAGAAAGATTCAGAAAGTGAACGTGGCAGGGTTTGATTTTGTTAGTTTAACTTTTGATGCAAAAGGGAGTAACTCCAATCACTTAATTAAGCTGTTGATGTGGAGCGTTTCAATGGAGAGGCGTTGAAGTGGAACAAAAGGCAGCGGGACAGTTAAAACTATTTGTCATTAATAAAGGGTGTTAGCCACCCCCCCACCCCCACCCCACGATATGCATTCAGCGACTGTCCTCTCCACTAAGCGAGCTCCTCCATCACGCCGTGAATAGTGACACTGTATGAAAACGGCGTTGATGAAGCAAACGAGGCGCTCGCACAGAAACACTTACTGTGAGAAACTTCAAAAGCCATTCCCAGCCTGAGCCCTTTGACCCGCCTCGCCCACTCCCATTCACACCCCCACCCTAAATGGGCTGGAAAGTGGGGAGCAGGAGAGCGTAATTACACCCCACCTCCTCCTCCAGGGCAACTTTAATACCCTTTTTTGTGTTTTAATTGCACCCCCCTTCGACCCTCTTTTCATGAACACATCAGGACCATACCAAAACCAGTTTGTAATCAGGGCTCAGGGTGTGGGGGATTTGTTTGCGTGCATTTTGGTGTTTGCAATGGGGCGACTGCAGACAAACTTGTTCAGTGGTGTTATTGATTCGAATGCAATTGAAAGTAACAGTGGGGAAAACAACACTTAGACTCCAATCTTATTATTTAAAAAAATGAGTGTGGCAGGCAAACTAGAGATAAGCATTAAGCCTTCTGGATCATTTCAAACTGATAATTATTGTTCGCCTCCATATGAAAAAAAAGTTGGCTGCTACACTCTGTATTTAGCACAGTTAAATGGAATTTTCATCATTACAAAAAGAGGCTTGTTTTCTAAAAAGAAGGGCTGTGTGTTGCCATTGTATTTGGTGTTACTGGCTTATCTGGCCATCAGCAGCCAGACAGAGATGAGTAAAATGATGGTGGAGGGGGAAGGGAGCCAGAAAGAGAGCCAGGAGTCGGGGCTCAGAGGTTTGGAGCCACTGCGTCTGTTCGTTACCAGGGGGTTTCAGGGAGACCCGTGGCAACAAACATCACTTAACTAATGAGCGACTGGTGCCTGGACACTTTGATCATTAGTCACACATGTGGAGCCTGTCACTAAAAACGCCACCAAATGCTACCGGTGACATTAAAGAGGTTTTTATGGGAACTCAAAACGCAAACAAATCTACTTCAGTGGTTAAGTCTTAACAGCAGCACAACTTTGAGAAAAAAAATGGCTGATTTGTATCTGATTGGAATATTTTGTGCCTATAGCTTTTAAGGGGATATATCATGCAAAGTCCACTTTTTAAGCTGTTAAATACATTTTGTTYTGAACTTGGAGTCTATAGGAGTGCAGGAAATTTGAATTTAGTTTCTCCAGGTGCTGCTCAGATATTTTGGATCATGATTTTCAAATTGTTCTATGACATTTTCTGAATTATTACATTACAGTATTCACAACGAAACTGCCAAAAAAACGTCTAAACTCACCAGCTACATTTTCATTGTCTTCATTCTCTTCTGGCTCTGGGTCAGACTCTGGCTCCAACATGTAAGGCTGGATGGACAAGTCTTCCCTTGCTGACATCTTTTAATAAGTTTGTAATTAAAAGGTTTCTGTGCAGCTGTATAGTCGTCAACCCCTCTGTTAAACTAGAATGGACCAGTCTGGAAGCTGGAGGGGGGCGGGGTGTGAAGCTCCTTGTTTGGATTTAAAGAGACAGCCTCAAAATGAGCTGATCTGAGACACACTTCAGAAAAGGGGTAAAAGAGGGGATTGTGGAGTTACATTAAGGAGGAATTCAGACCAAATTATTGCAGATCCACTTTATACGGCCCCCAACTGAATAATTTAAATGTAAAAATTCTGACTAGATTGACAATCTAATGGCTCAAATTAACCATTACCTCATCAATCTGATTAGAAATAAACTGTTTCTCCAAACTGAAACCATTKAAAGACATATCTATAGCAGGTAATATTGTCTCGTGCCATTCCCACAAAAAGTCCACTTCAAAAGATCTGAATTATCACGTTAAGGTCCTGTAGGCTAAAGAAGTCATAACTCAAAAGATCTGTAGAAAAGATAGTTGGCTCCTGTTTTTTTAACTATTGAAAGCCCAGAGTACCTACACATATTCATTGCAAAAACAACAGAACCCTATATTACACACACATTCTTCTTGTCTGCTGTAAAAATATTTAGGTCTGTCAAATCCCATCCATCCTTTGGGATCCCTCTGATACTTCAGAACGGTAGGAGACGGTAAACTGATACGGATCGCCTGGGAGCCATGCACCAGGGAAGGAAAAGAGTGTCTGTGTGGCTTCAGAGGGTGTAAATAGTAGGTAGCTACAGCTTTATGTTGGTGATAGATGGGAATTAGTGTGAAGTGTATGTGTGTTGCGAGCGGTCAGCTACTGCTCCGGGCCGGTGATAGATGGCTTTGGCTGTGAGGAGAGCATTAGCTGTGAGCTGCCCCTGGAGCACCCGTTCATTCAGGAGGAAGCTTTGGTGACAATTCCCCCTGGAGATAAACTCATAATATCTCTGCAGGGAAGCCCAAGAGGGACCTGAGAGGGTTGAGATTACAAACTGCTTGGTCTCAGGTCATTCAGTCTACTATTACGTTTGTCGAGTCTTTTTAAGATCAAAGAGGAGAGATTGTTGATAAAAGGTGTATGAAATTTTGCACAAACATTTTAAAAAGGCTAAAACAATTTAACACCAAATCTGTGCATCTTTTTAACCAAATAAACTAGCAATGCAATGGTCATTCTGTTATCCAATAAACCTGAATAAACGAGTGACTCAAACTGCTTTTAAAATGTGGTAAATTCACTTTCCGAACTTGTGCTGTTTGTTTATGTGCAGCAGTGTGGAGCAGGCTAAAGATCTGTGTTTTTGTAAGAAAGAAGATGACTGTCGTAAAGAGGGTGGAGGAGTGAAGGGAGGGATGGCAGACAGTCTGACTGTCTCTGTGTTTGTAATGAGAGGGAATGTGATGGAAGACAGTTACAGCCTTTCACCAAACCCATGCTGTGTGTGTGTTCATGGGTGTAATTAATGGGTCAAAAACATATGTGACAGTCATGGTTCCATACTCGTTCCTATTTTTTGCAGCAGTCAGGTGTGTCTCTGTCGCTGTTCATTGCACATTCTGGTACTTCAGCTGTGGGAGTGTTTGTTCATGGCCTGGCAGATGTCGATACTCATCTCTTGTCTTGCCGAGCTAGCTGACTACCAATGATTCTCTGTAAACATCGTTCGGCTCCGGGGGGACGCGGGATCAATCAGTGCCAATTCTTAGTACAACAGCAAGTTACTCGAGCTTCACGTTTATCCATATTTATGTGCATGTTGTCATCAGATCACTTTTATTCCTTTAATTCCTCCTGAACACACTCATCTTCTCACACAAACAATCTCTCTCCATCTCGCTCCCGGCTCTCCGCTGATATCCCTGTTGTACATCTGGCATGCAGCCGATCAATACATAATCACAGGTTTTGAGGCTTATATCTATCACGTCTCTAAGGCTATAACCACAGTTATCAGTCTCCTGCCACTTGTGCAACCCTCCTGACCCTGTCTCGTCTCCGCAGGTTCCGAAAGGACAACTACGCCGTGGAGGTGAAGCTCAACGACTACCTGGACATTGTCTGTCCGCATTACCCTCAGGGCGAGGTGCCGCTGGTGGACGCGGAGCGCTACGTACTCTACATGGTGGAGCGTGAAGACTACGACTCCTGCAAGGCCCAGTCATATGACCAGATGCGCTGGGAGTGCGGTCACCCGTTTGCCCCTCACGCTCCGGAGAAGTTCTCTGAAAAGTTCCAGCGCTTTACTCCCTTTACTTTTGGGAAGGAGTTTCGTCAGGGAGAAAGCTATTATTACATCTGTAAGTATGCGCTTCTCTGTCCATAATCTTCCTTTGGCAAAGAATGTGGATTTTGTCAGTTTTGTAGGTTTTTGGTCATAAATTCTCAAACTATTAACAGAAAATGCATCCAAATTAGCTGCAGTCCAGTTTCTTTTGAAATTGCATGAAGGAACCTGGAATGACACCACACTAAAACCGACAAAAGTGCACATAAACATCATTTTAGGATGGTTTTACCATTTTTTATAAATATTTTCAAATATGTTGGATCATGTCCTGATTCATCTCAGTAATCCAGGTAGAAAAAAATCAAAAAGAAAGAAAATAAGTAGGTCCTCCGGATGGGTTCTTCTTTAGTGAAACGTTTCGTCTCTCCTCCAAGAGACTTCTTCTGTCTGATGAGTTTCAGGTGAACTCAGCCTTACTGTATAAGCACCGCCTCCACATGGTGGACAAATAGGTTAGTCACATGCAAGAGTGCCATCGACTAACAATAGGCTTGATTAGCTCTATTGTTCATAGAGGGTCAGGTGATGGGGCACATGACCCTCTATGAACAATAGAGCCAATCAAGCCTATTATTAGTCGATGGCCCTCTCTTGCATGTGACTAACCTGTTTGTCCATGTGGAGGCAGTGCTTATAAGGCTGAGTTCACCTGAAACTCAGACAGAAGAAGTCTCTTGGAGGAGAGACMAAACGTTTCARTAAAGAAGAACCCATCCAGAGGACCTACTTATTTTTTCTTTTTGATGTTGGATCATGGGATAAAAGTTAATTTTTGTGAAAATTCAACCTGGGGGAGCATTTCAGCTGAAAAGCTTACAATAAACCATTATTTTGAAATGTTGCAGTTAAATGTAACCTGTGTGCTCGTGTAAAACATTTGCATCGAATCTGCAGAGAGGCTGTTTTTCATCAGTTTCCCACGAGAGAAGCTCCTAACTGAACCGCCTTTAATCAGCTGATGACAAAACATCCAATAATTTATTTTAATCCACCCCAAAGGATTATTAGTCTGGCTGCAAATCTTACACCCCCAAAAGAAAGTATGACCAGGAGCTGCAGCATCAGCCATTTAAAGCTTAACATTCACAAGGTGTTTTTCAAAAAGTTTCCCCGAGCGATTTGTTGCTTTAGAATGCGCGCGGAGGTCGTGCAGTTTTGTCACCCTAACCATGGTTGTAATTAGATAAACGGCAGGACAAGACACACTTTGTGTCTGGTCACAGATGGCCTCTCAAGGCTTTTGTGCCTGCGTCTTTCTGTTGCCAAGAGTTTCAGCGAGTGTGTGTGTTTGCATGTGTGCAGGCATGAAGGTGGATTAAGAGGATAAGTGCATTCGTCTGTGTGTTAATGCTTGTGTTGCTTTTGTTTTCCCTGCAGCCAAACCTTTGCACGGCCACGGCCAGCAGTGTCTCAGGCTCCGGGTGGATGTCATTGCAGCCGACGGTGAGCTGAGGATAAAAGGAGAATATTTATGGTCGAGCCCAATGGAGTACCTGATTGGCGTTTGTCTTTTCTTCCAGGCTCCCAAGCYGCCCGAGTGGCTAACCGAGGCACGGGTGGGGCTAGAGTCGGAGCAGGGGGTGGTGTTCACAACCCCTCCAACAGGCCGCCTGCAGGTACGTTGGATCCTCTGTAATTATCTCTGACAGTAGTAAGCTAATGCAGGCTCATGTGGGATCACATTGAGGTGTAAACTAACGCCTCGTCTTTGTTTTCCGTCCTCCAGCAGACGACCCGGTGGTGATCCTGCCAGATGTCCAGGAGAGCAAACGGACAAACTCTGCAGAGACGTCCACGTCACTCTCATTCCTCTGTTTGTTAGTCCCGTTACTACTTTTGCTGAACTGAAAGGGCAGAAGTTTTTTTTTTGTCCAGGGACTACAATGAAGATAGTCTGTGGAGTTGGGAACCACTGACTTAAAAAAAAAAAAAAAAATCGAATACCCAGTGCTGGCCACAGGAAGAAACTTTAAATAGCCTTGTAAAGTACAGACTTGCTCATGCAACACGTTGGTTTGAGACAAAAAAAAAATGGTGCTTTGTGGAATTTTTTGTGAAAACAAAAACAAAGCTCTTGTTGAGTTGTACTTTTTTGGGGCTCTCAAACAAACTCTGGAGGATGATCGCTTCAGACGATATGAAGAACCTGAAGTGGCAAAACAATCAGGAGCACAAACTGGACTCTTTGAATTTGATGTTTTAGAAGAAATCAGCATTTAAAGGCCAACCCCCAGGAGCCAAAGATCCGCCCCGTCTCCAACCTGTACTCCACTCCACCCTTTTGAGTATCGTGTTAACTTGTCGTATTATCATTACCAAGTGGCGTCGGTGTCTCAACGTGATTTTTCTAAATGTAGCATTTTTAACAGGTTCTCCTTTGCAGACCACGTGCTCACARGCTGTAGCGCTAACACACACTGCTAAACACCGAAACGCACCAACACACTGCACGACGTCTTTTTACGTGTAACGTTCTGTGAAGATAATTTATGACATTTGCAGCTGAGAGGTCTTACTGTACATGCGCTCGCAAAACGAAAAGTTTACTGATGGGGGGAGGACTTTTCCTTTTCCTGGAGGTGAATGTGTGTGAAAATGGGAGGATGTGCCTGACGTGTGGAGTGTTTGATTTAGACAAAATGCTTATTCTGCCAAAAGGAAACACTGATGTATGTGTGTGTGTGTGTGTGTTTGTGTGTGTTGCAGAGGCTGGATTTCTCTGCTTGTTGCCCCGGTTGTAGGTTAAACATGACATGAAGGGCTGGTATGAAGTTATTGTTTAAAAAATAACATTTTAATCAGTTAATATTGTCACCAGTTCGCAACAGACAAGGCACTGCATTGAACAGAGTTGCTAAGCTCATCTTCACCTGACAGGCAAAGCACAACCGTGTATGACTACCATCATTTTTTTAACCTGAATTCTTGTTGCCTACTTTTGTACATGTGTAAGTATAAACAAAAAAAAAGTGTAAAATATGTGCATATTTCTATGTAAATATATAGAGATTATATGAAAGACGAGTTTGATAAATGTGAAAGATTTTCATGTGAAATAAAAAGGATATTTTTGTTGAACAGATTTGTGTGGTTGCCTTGGCAGCGCGGCTTCGGGGGATGCAGGAACACTGGTTGATCTTTTTGTTCCAGACCAAATGTCTCGAGCAACTATTGAATAAATCATTCATATAT